TCTATAATTAAAAGTTAAATATTTAAATTATATTAAATTTAATATTTTTAAATTTTTATAGGATACTAGACATCTGTAAATTACAAAAAATTCTCTACAAAATTTTCACAAAAAGAAATATTCTCTCTCCCCGCTCTGCCCCCAAGAGGATTCCCGCAGGCCCGTGGAGTTGGAAAAAATTGCCATCCTTAAATATAGGGGAGTTTAGGGACTTTAGTTATAGATTTTGCTTTTTATCGAAGCAGATTTTCATTCCCGTTGGATTGCAATAGTAATATTTCTTTATTCTAAAATAATTATATTTTTTACTTTAAATTAATTGTTATTTTTTATTTTTTTTAAAATAAATAAAATTTTTATTATTGAATTTAATTCATTTATTATATAAAAAAAATTTATATTATATTTATTTTTTAAAAGTAATATAAAAAAATATAAAAAATATTTTTAAATTTTTAATTAAAAAAAATTGAAAAAGACAATAGCTCTAACATTTTCAGCACCTGATGTTCAAATTTGTAGCTGAGTTGGTAGTAGCCGTTGGAAGATTACGCTGAGCTTGTGCTTGTTAGTTGTCAGTTAGAACCAGGGTAAACAACGAATAAACCGTTTTCTCTTATCCTTCTCAGATCTGATCTTCTTCTTCTTCCCCTGTTTCTTGATTTCTGATACTATCAGCTCCTGTGCTGATGCAACGTCTCCCTGCTGAAACCAGTTCGTTAAAAATCGATTCACGCTTCTACCTTGATTTCTTCTTCCTCTGCTTCCCCTCATTCCTTTATCATCCATCTCAGATACTCTCCTGTGAATAATTCAATTTGTTCTGTCATTATTTTAGGTTCTTCCTCCTTTGTTCCTCTCCTTCGTCTTCCTCTGTTATCCCTCAATTCCTCCGAAGAAATTTTTCAGAAACCCTGAAAAGATTCAAATTCAAAATTTCTTGATAATTTTTTCAGAAGCTCTAAAAAGATTCGAATTCAAAATTTCTTTTCCGTATTTCGTCTTCCTCTGTTCCTCCCCTCCCACTTCCAAGATTTCACCGTAAAGCTAAAGAATTGCTGTAACACCTGTTAAAGCATAAAGCATGGAACAAGAAACGGTAACTTTTAAGTTACCAATGATTCAGGCTGATATACTTTCTTGCATCCTATTTGGTTTGGGCAGAATGTTCAGAGGCATGCCTGCTGTGAAATTGGGAATGGTTGTCCGCCCAGACACCATTTCCCTGGGAGTCTTTGTGGGCAAGAGGCGTATGGCATTTTTAAGCCTCCGCGGGTTTGGGGTTGGCATCTCTCGACCGATCATACTCACTAGAATGATGGACTTTGATGACCTTGATTTTGCTGTCCACTCCTTTTCCATGGCAGTGAATGAAGGTCGATTCCCAAGATCGCTTGACCTATGTGCAAGTCGAGTCTTATCAGAAGGTATAGAAATATTTAAACGTTTTCATAAAGTTTGAATATTGGAATAAAATTATCTAATTTGTGGATGAAATTCTAATTCAGGGTGTGGTTGAATGCAACTAATTTAGATATAGTTTGAATCTTGAGGTCCTTTGCATTGTTCAAGCGGGATGTTTTGTTGTTCCTCGTAAAATAAATAGAAGAAAAATAGACAAAAGATTCACAAAAAACAATTAATTAAAGATGAAAATAAAAAGTAGAAAGATGTCACCGAAAGTATGAGGAGCTTGAGCTGAGGCGTGGATCAATCACTCTCTT